AACCCGTGGACTCAGACAATCCACTCGCCTTGGCCTCCCAAAGTGCTGGGATTACAGGCTGAGCCACCGAGCCCGGCCGACATTAAAGATTATAGAGAGGATTCAATTATTTTGTTTCTACAAAGTGGTTAGAAGAGCTCGTGGCAGGCCAAGCATGGGGGCTCCTGCTTGAAATCCCAGCACTTGGGAGGCCAAGACAGGAGGATTGCCTGAGCCAAGGGGTTCGAGACCAGTCTGGGCAACATAGCGAGACCTTGTCTCTAGAAAAAAATCAGAAAATTAGCTGGGCATGGTGACATGCACCTGTATTCCCAGCTATTCAGAAGGCTGAGGTGGAAGGATCACCTGAACCCAGGAGGTTGAGTCTGAAGGGAGCCATGATCATGCCACTACACTCCAGCCTGGGCAACAAGAGTGAGACCCCAACAACAGCAACAAAAAAACTCAAGAAAGTTAACAGGTAAAACATAAAATGGTACCAATACTATCTCATTTTTCTGAAGGCAAATGTAAACATAGAAAAAATAATATTGTCTGTCTCTGGGCAGCAATATCACTGGCGATTTTAATCTTCTTTATGCTTTTCAACATTCTCCAAATTTTCTACAAAGATTATGCATTACAGTGAAATAAATATAGCTGAGTGCAGTGGTGTGTGCCTGTAGTCCCAACTACTCGGGAGGCTGAGGTGGGAGGATCACTTGAGCTGAGGAGTTAGAGGCTACAGTGCACTACCGTTGTGCCTATGAATGGCTACTACACTCTAGCCTGGGCAACATAGAGACCCTGTCTCTAATAAAGAAAAATAAATATTATAACTTGGTGAGATCTCAATTTATCTGAAGCTTATACATGTGGCAAGTTTTGGAAAAAGAAACATTTTGATTTAAAAAGCAGTGTCGGTCATGCTTTTCTTTAAGCTCTGTCCCCTCCCCAATCTGGGGGAGGTACATCTCATCTCCCCTTCACTCTCTCTTCAATCTACTTTCTAAATAAACTATTTTTCCTAATTAAAAAAAAAAAAGCAGTGTCCTTAGTTAATTGAAATGTTCCCATTAAGAGAAGAAAAAAATGCACTTTGGGAGGTGGAGGTGAGAGGATTGTCTGAGCCCAGGGGTTCGAGACCAGCCTTAGCAACTTGGCAAGACTTCATCTCTACAGTAAATCAAAAAATTAACCAGGTGTGGTGGCGCACACCTGTAGTTCCAACTTCTTGGAAGGCTGGGGCAGAATGATCACCTGAGCCCAGAAGGTCTCCAACTCAAAAAAAGAATAAAAAAGAAAAAAATGTTGGTGCTATATTGACTTTCTTAAGAGGCTAGAACAAAAAGCCCAGGGGGCTAAGAATCATTTTCCTCAGCCTCCAGGCCTGGTGGACCTTCCTAACTCAGGCCCGAATCCTGGACGGGCTAAGTATATGAATAACTGGAACAAACGTTTATGAAGCTTTGGGATGCGCTTTGGTGTTTTCTATTTCTTTTTTCCCTTTATAAAAAAAAATTTTTTTTCTTGAGACAAGGTCTTTCTCTGCTGTCCAGGCTGGAGTGCGGTGGTGGAATCATGGCCAACTACAGCCTTGAACTCCTGAGCTCAAGCAACCCCCCTGCCTCAGTTTCCTGAGTAGTTGGAATAACAGACATGAACCACTGCACCTGGCTATGCATTTTCTACTTCTTTTTTTTTTTTTGGAGTTGTAGTCTTACTCGGTCGCTCAGACTGGAGTGCAGTGACCGCTCCTGGCCACCACAGCCTCCACCTGCTGGGCTCCGGCGATCCTTCCGCCTCAGCCTTCCGAGTAGCCGG